GAAGCAGACGATTTTTCCGTAGGAGTGGAAACCTACCTGCGGCGAGATCGTGAGTATTTACGAGTCTTGTGCAGCTCTTGCGTTCTCTCCCTTCCAGGGCTAGAGTGGAAACCTACTGGTCAGGGTTGCGAGAAACAGTTGGTTATGATCACGACAGTGACGTAGTCATACCGCCGTACTCTAGCTCTAGAACCCTATATTTCGATATCCGTCAATCCCAATCTATCATCCCTATTGTTAAAACTGATTATGATCCCTGCAGAGTTCCCGAAAGCTCAGCGATTTTAGCCATAGTTTACAAACCAATCGATTTTTACTTGCTTATTTAGATCTGCACTTCAATTGTTTAGGTTCGATATTTTGCTTGCTTTACTTGCTTTTCATTGGATTTTTCTACTTGTTTTCTAGGATATATTTATTTGCTTTCTTTCGTTTTAGTTTAATCAGTGACAAACAACCAACCTCTAAAACCAATCTAGTCTAGACAAAAAGTTAGAAATCGTAGAAGAATACCAGGCACACAAATCTTTGTGGATTCGATCCCTAAATACTACAACTGATTAGCTGTGCACTTGCGGCTTTCATTTGTTTTTGTAAGGGTAAAATTTTTTCCCTCACGCAGTTGACACGCATCAGGAACCGAAATCACTGAGCAATTAGTTGCTCACGACTCTACTTGTTTTGCAGGTGACCATAGTGGGTAGCCAATTGGGACAAGAGAAGTTTAGGACTGTTGGTGTAGATTTTGTGCCTTTTGCAAAACCAAGTATGATTTAAGTTGATTTCAGTATAATGTTTTCTCAGGGGCGCCCATTGTATAACAAACAATGTAGTAAAAGTATGTTTTATAAAAGCTCGGGTTTTCGAATGATACTAGCATTCGGTAGGAAAATCGTGTGCGGACGTCGACCTTGGGCTCTTGGACGTGCATGTTCTTGTTTGATTGGTGCACGACTAAGAACCTCGGGCCAACAGTCTGTGCGCACAAAAGTAGCACCGTCGATCCGGTTTGGGTTCGAACGGTCGGTCGTCCATGTTCTTATTGTTGTGCGGTCGGTCACTGCACTCGGATGTAGACGGAGTCGGGGGTGTTACAGTCATGACTATAACTCAACCTAAGAATAAGCTTCTTAGTGGCTGTAAGAGAATCATGCATTAACAATAAGAATGAACGAAGAATTCCTAGAAGATTATGAACCCTAAATCTAAAAATTCATTAAATCAAGACATGAATTTCTCTTTGAAAAATCCCTATAAACTCAACTGGAAAACTATTCAGACATAGTATAACAAAACATTATAAAAGTATTAAAGGTTGCTGAAATTAAAAAATAAAAATAAATAAAAGAAAAGGAACAAAGAACACTAATGAAGATGGAGATCCGATGGTGCCCTTCTCAATAGCTCCTCTTTGAAGACTGCTACTCTCTAAAAACTCCTTATTAAATCGGGGCACACCTCTCTGAATGACGTAAAAGAAGTATACAAAGTCTCTGGAGTCTTCCGAAATGTCTAGGGTTTGCAAAATAAGTGACAGGAATGACTTAGGCTTGAAACAGGCTTCTCAAGGTCAGAAATAGGCCCACTGCAGCCTTGCTTCAGCTTTAAGGCTGTGTCGTATGCCTTCAGTTCATCAGGAATATTTGGAGATCTAATCGTTGGATTGTGTCCAAACCAATTGCATTAGAAATATGGTTTCCTCCTTTATGTTTTCTCAAAATATGGGGATGATCATATGTTGAGATCTTTATTCGTTGCCAAAATTTCCTCCTTTATGTTTTCTCAAAATATGGGGATGATCATATGGTGAGATCTTTATTCGTTGCCAAACTTTTAACAGTCTGAATTTATCCAAAAATATACTTTTGCTCCAAAATGCATTCCTTTAGTCCAAGTTTCCTGAAAAGTCTTTTGAAACTCTAAAACATAGAAATAAAAAAACTATTCTAAACCAAGTTAAAAACACCTGCATAAGATCTTAAAATCATCCATAAAAGTGGTCAAAATATGGTGTTGTCAGAGATGCATAAGTTTAATCTCAGTACTAAGGAGGCTATCGGCATCCTTGAGTAGTGTGATGGCTCGGAAAAGAGTTTTGGTCCATGTAGTATTAATCACATCCACGCCACTGCTGTGATTCATGAGAGTAATGAGCAGCATAAGGGTTGAAGAACCCTTGCTCATAGTAGTTATCTCGCCTTAAAGATGGATACATGTTTCAGAGCCTTGAAGAAGAAAAAAACCAAAAATTAAAAGAAAAAGGGTGCCTTAGAATCCATATTACTAACCTATGAATTTTGGCAGAACAAGAACAAATCTATACCCAGGAACGGCACCAAAAACTTGATACTGCTATGGTTTGAATGTTGCGGTTTGAAGTTTTAAATTTTTAAAACCATAGTATCTGAAAATGCACAGCAGTGCGAAGTAGTACTTAGGGAGTTGATCCATAGGGAGAGGTACCTTTTTTGCAGAAACTTTAGACAAGGAATTAGTAAATGGGTTATAAGGCTAACAGGGTTATATAGGAGTTTGGTGTCACAGGAAAAGTAAAAGAAATCGATGTGTGCTACTAATAAAATTGTTGTTAGACCGGTAGGGATATCTCAGGAGATGTTCGATTCATGCATTATCCTAAGCTTTTGAAATCAATTTCTAGCTAGCTCATTGAACTCGAAATCACAGATGTATGACTAGTCTATTGGCGCAGTATTAACCAACTGATCACTCGCAACTCGACCAGTAGCTTTCGTCTCTGGCTGAGAGAGAGCTTATCCAATATAACACAAGTTTTTTTATGCTCATGATACTTTATAGGTAGTTTTCGTCTGCAATAGCGATTTTGTTTCTCTACAAATATAACAGCGTTGTGGGTTTATCTTCCGAGAATCAGTTGCTAGTTCATGACTCTAACTTCATGCTGTATAAATATATTTAGAAGAGATGAGACCTATAGTTTGGCTAAGAAAACAAACAATCCTAATCGAATATTATATCCCCATCAATGGATCTCTGAAACCCAACTAGTAATCTACTCAGACATAATTAATAAAAAAAAGTAAAAACATAGTAGACCAATGAATAAATCGAATAGATTAAAAAGAAATAAAAGGGTTCAAGAGAGATATATCTATCTTTCTAAACAAAGAATTAAGAACAAAAAGAAAGTAAAAATTTAGTGCTAAAGTTTTTCTGTGGTGACACATTTTTCTATAAAATACATGAAAATAAGGTTCCTAAAACATATATTTATAGTGCTTCAAAATAACTTGATCTTCTTGTATCTTTTGACTGAACCGTTGGATCATCATCAAGTAAAGTATCATCAAGTAAAGTGCAATGGGAAACTGGCTGGTTCCTCTTGAATATCTCAAATTGGAGCTAATCAGACAATGAAAAATTCTTCATTTGAGATTGAAATTCGGACGGTTTGATGCTGAGCTAGAAATCTGATTTTTCTCTAATTTACAATGTTTTTTCTTAAGTAACCTGAAAAGAATTTTTAAACTAGAAGATACGAAAACTGCAATAGAACACTTAAAACCAAATAAAACATTTGAAATTGCATAAGAAATCCTTAGTAAAATGGGTAAAAATACGGTGTGATCAAGTTTACAACTTAATCTCTCAAGGCTTTTGCACCAGGCTCTTGGAACCTATGGAGCCAAAAGATTCAGCATAGATCACCCGCTCCTGGGATACGTGTGTCTGACAGTGCAGACCATGCTATCAAGAGTTTAGAGATTGAGTGGCTAGGAGGAGGAGAAATCATCATTCCCAGCCTCGTAAATATGCCAGTAATTTGGACTTTGCATGACCTGGGAAAAATTATCCACACAGGTACTAGGAGCCAGCATCTAAACAACTCGGACAGCCTGATCCTTGGTATTAAAGGATTTAGGCAAGGTAAGCAACTCAATTAGAAGGAAATAAAAAGTTCAACACTTGTATATTTTCCCTCCAATGGGCAATAAATATATGTTAAAACCTACCCCCATGCTTCTTAAAACCTATGGATCATGCAATCAATGCTTCACATCTGATAGATGAAAGTGACAATACTGTGAGCATATCAAAGAGAAACAGTATGGAAGATGACCATATCGCACCCAATTCGCTGCTTCCAAGACCACACATTAAGAGAGATAGCAATGTGGTTAGGCTTGGTTGAGTAGCAGGCACGTATAGCCAGGAAAAGTAGGTGAGAAGTCATAAAAGCACTAGGTATGCGATCCATTCAACATATTCGATATGCAACCTAACAATCTTTAAACTAAATGTCCGATTCGGTATGCTAACCTAAGTCGGGTAAAAATTTATAAATACTTCTTTTCTTCAACAGGAAGGGGGTTCACACAATAATCCCACCATTCAAAAGCCCATTGTGGATGCATCCCTGTTTTCACACTCAATCAGCACTTTCTTTCACCTCATTTTTTGAACTTTTTTCCAATTTCTAACGAACTACTCTATAGTTTTTCTTTATTGTTTTCTGATTTAGACATTGAAAAGCTTTTAGAAAAACACTACCATCGTATTTTAGGGCTTTGCATCTTTCTTCATTTCGTATGAGACTTGCCTTTTAGAGGATGAAAAAAATCTCCTAAACATATTAAGTATTAACTAATTTTAAAAGATATTTGTAAATAATATGTTTTAACTTTTAAGGGTCACTAAATGAAATTTTTAAGCGAAACAATAATTAATCCTATATAAAAAAATTACACGACATATCTATTAATGCAGAGTTTTAGTTTCCAACATTCTGGCCATAGTTTTTATAATTTGGTGAGGATTGTCCGCTGGGAAATGACGAATATGGATTAGGAAGAAACTTATTTTCATACTTTCAGATAATGAAAACTTAAAATATCATGTCTTTCCAGATAATTGTATATGTAATTTTTGTTGGTCTATAAATCATAGAAATTTTCATAAGAAGTAAAATACATAATATTTTCCCACTATGAATAAATTAAAATAATACAATTAGCAATCACTTAACAAATGGAGGATGATTGATATAAAGAGACGAGAGAAGAAGGAAGATAGGTCATCCAACCATCTTCATCAATGAAAGTTTTAGTGTTTACAAGAAAAGCAACATCTGAAGCAGAAAGATTCTTCTCCCATCCAACTCTTCTTTGCTTATTCGCTCCTTCTCCTATGCAGTTTACCTCCGCAAATGTAAATTTATCCCTGTTTTTTTTTTGTAATCCAATAATTATCATTACATAATTTACATGTTATCCAAATATGTAACAAATTCACACACACAAACATACAGTATATATATATATATATATATATAAGTAAGTAAAAGAGAAGAAGCATACGTACTCTTGGCCTTTATACAACCAAGCATCCCATCCTTCAGGAGTAATAATATTGGACATGCTGGATTCATAAAAGACTACTCTAGAGTAGCCTCGGTATGCTCTTCCCAAGGATGCGTTACCATCACCTTCAATCTTGCAATACTTGAAAACAAATCCACTCGTGTCTTGCTCGCTTTCCCTCCCTTGGGCGGTTATGAATCCCGGTAACAATTGTCCTTCGTTCACCATTTCATTTGATACCACTCCTTTAACGTGTATAACGCAATTCTGCATCCACGCATTTCTTTTACATATATCGATATATTATCATATATTCATATTAATTAACTAGAGTTGTTGTAACGTGCCATTTCCATCTTGCTTTCAAAATTTTAGCCTATTCTATAGCTTGGGATGCTATGGCTATTGTCATCTATGGCTTGAAACACGGTAGACAAGGCCAAGTCCTTCAGTTTATAAATATAAAATGGCCAGTCCGTGGGGTCTAATTCGTTAAAGGAAATATTGGTGTATCATAAAATCCCTATACTCAACCAAAACTTATGAAAGATATTTGAGATTACTTGGTATATAGATTGGCCTCGTCCCCATATGAAATCGATGGCTCCTTCAATGTAACAGTTTAGGAAGAAGTGGCGGCCGACTAAGTCAGCTAGTGTGTCTTGGACACTGATGAAGCTGCAGCCATAGAACCACGCCTTGTCTGCCATTAGTATAATTGATGGAGCTACCTTTATCTCTTGATATGGTACTATTGTTGTTATCTTGTTATAAGTATTCTGCGCAAACATGATATCAGTTTCACATTATACAAGAATCCTTTTGTATGATATCCACACCCGTGAAAATTAATTTCAATATTCTATATAATCACAAAAGAACAATGTGCGACTAATATGTAACATAAATTTGAAATATCTCAATATATAATAAAACTCTGAAAACATTTGCGTTGAATTTTTTTTATTAAATGACCGTGAAACAGTTTAAAAAACTTTTTTGTTGATCAATAAGTTTATTTCTTTTAATTGTATTTTAACACGTGAATCAATTTTTTGAAAACGTTTGAAAACATAAGAACTGAATAAATTAGGATTAAACACAGATAGCGAAATCACATCCTTACACTGTTTCATTATTATGAAAAAAGAAAGTGCAAATTAACTGCCTCAAAGTTATTTACATGCTTTAAACTTTCAAATCTAGTTAAAGAGAGAGAAAATAAAAATCACAAGTGTATTTAAAGGATGTATAAATTCCTACTCTAATGAATTAATCCATCTACAAAAAAAATATTCTATTCATAAAGGTGAATGTTTTGCTTTGAGAATGGTGAATTGCTTTTGCTAAGTAAAGTTATATAGAAAAATATCATTAATTAACGATAATAATTGACAGAATTAATCACTATCCTAAAATCAAAATTATTGATAGATCTTGAATCAAAATAATTTAAAGTTCTTATTTCTGTCAGTTTAAAAGCAGAATTTTTTTTTGATTTATTAAAGCTTCTAATAAAAATATTGTAGAAATTTGGATACTCCTCAGCCAATAAAAAGTTGATCACACTAATTATGGCGTTCGGTAAAATGCATAGCAGTAATCATGGCATTTTCATCTTTACCAAAGCAGCAGTAATCTGCTACGTTAAGATTGCTTTTAGAACCTACACTGAGCGAATCATATATTTTACCAAAAAAAAACAAAAAATCTAAATTATTGATTGTGATAGCGGCTACATATATAAAACCTTGATTACCTTGAAAGTAATATTGATAGCGACGAAGTATTCAGCGTAAACGATGATCGGACCACTCGAATTGGATTGTCCAGCATCATTATATTGAATTATCACTTCGGATGTGTTTCCTTGCATTATTATCTTTTGTTTCTCCCTTGGAATCACTATCTTTTCGCTGAATCAACACACATACATATTCATTAATCATTGGTAAACTCACCTAAATTAACCAAAGACAGTAATTGCTTTATTCTTTTTTGCTTTATGCAATTCATCTTTTTATGGATGAAACGTGCGAGTTCCGCGCCTTCGACTCATAATCTCCCTCAGTACCCAGAGTCAGCAGACAGCAGTATATTTTTTAGCCTTATGTTTTCATTTAAAGAATAACTAGATTCTGAATATTTTTTATTGTTTAACAAATTTTATTAGTTTTAATCAAATCAAATCAAATCTAAATTACCTATATTTAAGGAACTCTAAAAATATTTAAATTAATAATTAATTTCGAAATTAAATATAAATAATTATTAAAATTATTTTTAAACACTTAAAAAAAATTAGGACTGTTTGGAAGGAAATACTAAATGTGTTTCTGTTTTAATATAATAGATTCTCCGTCCCATTATGTAATTAATACATATTATAAATATCATGTAATGAAAAAAGAAAGTGAAAATAGGAGCTTACTTGTAGATTCCATTTTGAAGATGAATCTGAATCCAATTATTGTTACCAGAAGGAATGGAGTCGATGGCTGCTTGGATGGTTTTGAAATCACCTTCACCATTCTGACTAACCACCACTGTCTTTATTATATCTATGTTGAAATCTTTCGGTATTTTATGTGCTAAACGGCGAGAAGGGACACGTGATGACTTAGCCGTCAAGTACAAAAATGATAAAGCCAAAACCAAAAGACAAATAAGAGATTTCATTGTAATGGCAAAAGCTTTTTAACTCTTCTAACGATAAAAGTTAAGGAGTATTTTCAACTTGATGTTTTTTATATGTTTCTCTTAAGTTGATTTGAACGTTCCTTTATTTGAAGATTTTTTTTTCTCAATTTATAAAGTTGTATTTTAACTACTTTTTTAAAAAAAAAAAACTTGTCTACTTTAAATGTATGTACATTCTTGTCCACTTTAAATGTATGTACATTTCCATACTTACTTCCAAGTATGGTTAAAGATCCACTAATTGATTCCTTAGCGTATTTGATTTGTTTTGTTTTTAACCTTTTTTTTAAGTACATCGCAGCACAAAATCCAAATGATTATATCCATTTAAATATAGATTCCTTAATAAACAGCTATAAAAATTAAATAAATACTTATGTAAATAATAAGAAAGAGTGAAGTGCATCAAACGTTCTATAAGAAGCTTTAAAAATACACTAGAAAATAAAATTTTAATTTATAGCAACTTGGGTAAATTATATCTTTGTACGATTAAATGATTTATCCCAAAGTAGTGTAGATTTGTGTAAATACAAATTGTTAATCTGAAACTAGGAAATGTTTTTTAACAGATAACTTTTTTTTCCAAAAGATACAAAATCTATCATTTTTTACCAAATCCAAAAAACAAAAAATACAATAAAAACTCTATAAATTAATAACATTAAGATTCTCACTTTTTAATTTAGAGTTTATTAATTTATAAAGAGATTTATTAACTAAATTTGAGACCAAAAAAAATTTACTAACTATTTGAGTTTATTAGTTTATCAAATATCACTTTATTAAATTTATATTGTACTACACAATATAACTTTAACCAACTTATAGTAACCCAATGGTCATCGTTCTTATTGTTTTATTATGAGAAATCTGCTAGAATGACTCTAATTTTAACAAAATCTTTCATATTCTTGATGATAATTCCTGAGAAAAATTATCTTTAAATTTATTTTAATTTTTTAGTTAAATTAAGATCGATGGTAAAAATATTTTTTAAATTATCATTAAATTTAATCGAGTGTCATTCCAGTAAAACCAAATTAATTTACTAACTATTTGAGTTTATTAGTTTATCAAATATTAATTTATAAAATTTATATTGTATAACACAATGTATCTTTAACCAACTTATAATAACTCAATGGTCATTGTTCTTATTGTTTTATTATGAGAAATGTGTTAGAATGACTCTAATTTTAACAAATATTACTAGATTGACACTCGTTTTTTAGTTTTACTAGAATGACTATAATCTTTATTAGAAAGACCAGAAAACATTGCTTAGAGTTGTTATTCACAGTTATGCATTTTAATTTAATTTTTCAAAAGAAAATAGGTTAGTTACACAATCATCAATTCTCTTAATCCAGTCATAAAAAATAATTTTTAAAAAATTCTGGGTAATATCGACGGGAATATGAAAGATTTTGTTTCCTAAATTTTTCTCAGGGATCATCATTTCTCCTAGAATCTCTCACCCACGATTTTTAAACAAAAAAGACCCTAAAAACTATCATTCTCATTTGTACCACCGAGAAACTTCTTTTGCCCTAGCCGCCGTAGATAGTTGCGATTTCTGTGGCGATTTTGGCAGTCTTCCATCCGAAATTCTCTCTGCATACAGTTTCCGGTGAAGTAGAAGACTTGTTTCTACTATTACGGTGGTAAGTTTAACCCAAATTTCTCTCTGTTTTTTTTTTCTGATTTTGACAGTGTAGAAGAAGAAGAGTTGTGGTTTTCTCGAAAATCCCCACTTTAGTTTTCTTCTGACGGCGTTTCAAGGTCTTCACTATTTGTTTCGAGTTCCGGTAGCGTTTCGGTAAGTTTTGTCCTCTGTAATTGTTTTTTGGGCTTCTCATTTGTCTTGGCGCCATATTCTTATTTTTTATGATAGAAGACCGTCCTAGAATTGTCACACACTTGGCTCGGCGGAGGTTGATAGATCCTTGGATCCAGACCGGTTCGGTGAAAGAGATGCTAAGGCGTGAGCGAGAGCTCGAAAATCCTTAGGCCCAAATCCAAAGAAGAGGTTGGAAACGAGGGGATGGACAAAGTAGATTAAGGATTGCGATACCGGATGTTAAGGTGTGAGACAAGTCCCGAAATTACCTAAGCCCCAAGTACGACTACAAACTCTCTCTCTCACTTTGGAATCGAAGGCTGCGTCAAGCAGGATGAAACTACTTGATAAACCGGAAATCGATCAATGGCTAACCACCAAAATATCGACAAAGTTCTTAGAGAACAAAAGAGAAAACTCAAAGAGAAATTTTATAAAAGATAAGTGATGATAAATCCAAGTACATCGTTGCCTTTATATAGAGGCTAAAGGGAGACCATCGGTCTTTAAAGAAAATTAAAAGACATTAAAAGACATTAAATGAAACTAAATGAAACTAGAAATGCGTTGAATAACGATCGGACTTCTGGGTAACCCTTCGCATCCTCTCGCTAACTCTTGAACTTCTTGACCGTTATACTTGGCCGCGAATCGAACCTTGGTCGTGAGATGGGTGTGCATTAACCTCGTTAAAACCCCATTCGGAAAACTCAATGGGACAAACCCGAATGTAAAGAAAAAGAGTATTAACACAACACCCCAACCAGGTCAGTTCGGACCAGAGTACATGAGAACGGTCATGACTTTGTGAGCGGGTGTTAGGTCGTCAGCTCGGCCTTGGCTTCTTAGCTCGGTGAGAACTCGTTGGATGGCCCCCATGAGTTTCTTGGTACGCGACCTGGTCATTGGTACAGTTGGTATGGCCAGGACGTCATTCAGGTTGGCTCCTTGGTCTTGTGCCCCGTTCTGAACCTCGACTTCGCTTAGGTCGGCCACTTGGTCTTGTGTTCCGGCCTGAACCTCGGTTCGCACCTCGTCCTTTGTTCCCTCCGGTTCTATGATTCTATCATCCCCCCCCCCTCTTGAAGAGGACTTCTCCTCAAGTCGGCTTCATCTGCGTGAAAAGGGATAATATCAGCGATATTGTAAACTTGAACTGACGGAGTACTTACCTTGGAGGTGGATCTTGTAGGAGTTGTCGTTGAGCCGCTCTAGGATAGTGAATGGTCCGTCTACTCTCGGCATCAACTTAGACTTCCTTTCTTCCGGGAATCTCTCTTTCCTTAGGTAGATCCATACTTGGTCTCCGGGCTCGAACATCTTTTTGGTCTTTCCTTTGTTGGCGTACTTCTGGAATTGCTCCGTCTTTCTTTCGATGTTCTGCCTTGCTTTTTCGTGCATCTTCTTCACCAAGTCCGCTTTCTTTTTCTCGTCCATGTTCTCACGCTCATTCGTTGGTAAAGGGGTTAGATCCAAAGGGGTAAGAGGATTAAAACCATAAACTAACTGAAATGGTGAAAACAAAGTAGTAGAATGGACAGCTCGGTTATAAGCGAACTCAACATGAGGCAAACATTCCTCCCAAGTCCTAAGGTTCTTTTTAATGACCGATCTCAAAAGAGCTGACAAGGTCCTATTGACCACTGCGGTTTGACCGTCGGTCTGAGGGTGACAGGTTGTGGAAAAACACAGTTTAGTTCCTAACTTAGCCCACAGCGTTTTCTAAAAGTAACTAAGAAATTTAGTATCCCGATCTGACACTATGGTTCTCGGAACTCCATGTAAACGGAAAATTTCCTTAAAGAACAGGTTGGCTATATTGGAAGCATCGTCGGTTTTGTGACAAGGAACAAAGTGTGCCATCTTAGAGAACCTATCTACTATGACAAAGATAGAATCCTTACCTCGGCGGGTCCTAGGTAACCCGAGGACGAAGTCCATGGAGATGTCTGTCCACGGCTCGGTAGGGATGGGTAATGGAGTATACATTCCTGCGCCCTGGCTGCGGCCTTTGGCTAGTTTGCAAAACGTGCACCTTAGGCATATTCTCTCCACATCCTTCCTGAGGTGCGGCCAGTAAATATGGTCTTGGACCACACTTAGCGTCTTAAGAACTCCGAAATGTCCCATTAAGCCTCCTCCGTGTGCTTCCCTGACAATCAAGTCACGCATAGAAGTGTTAGGTGTACATAGTTTATGATCATAAAACAAGTACCCATCACTTTGATAATATTTTCCATAGGCAAACTTAGAACTGGCGCGATAAGCTTCTTGGAAATCCAGGTCGGTTGCGTAGGCTTCTTTGATCATCTCAAATCCAAGTATCTTGGCATCAAGCGTCGAGATCAGGGCATAACGTCGGGATAGCGCGTCCGCCATGACATTATCTTTTCCTTGCTTGTACTGAATCACATAAGGGAAGGTCTCGATGAACTCGACCCATCTCGCATGTCGCTTGTTCAGCTTCTGTTGTCCTTTGAGATGCTTCAAGGACTGGTGATGGGTATGGATAACGAACTCCTTTGGCCACAAGTAGTGTTGCCATGTTTGTAGAGCTCGGACCAATGCATAGAGCTCTTTGTCGTAGGTCGGATAGTTAAGCGTAGCTCCTCCAAGTTTTTCGCTAAAGTAAGCGATCGGTCGCTTGTCCTGCATGAGCACGGCTCCAATTCCCACTCCGGATGCATCACACTCGATCTCAAAGGTCTTGAGAAAATCGGGCAGGGAGAGTAAGGGTGCGTGTGTAAGCCTGTGCTTGAGGGTATTGAACGCTTCCTCCTGAGCTCGTTCCCATTTGAATCCAACGTCCTTCTTGATGACCTCGGTGAGAGGGGCTGCAATCGTGCTGAAGTCTCGGACAAACCGGCGATAGAACCTGGCCAGACCGTGGAAGCTGCGAACTTCTCCAACCGTTTTGGGACTTGGCCAATCTTGGATAGCCTTGATCTTCTCCTCGTCCACCTGTATACCCTGTGAACTGACAACAAAGCCTAGAAACACCACGTTATCCGTACAAAAAGAACACTTCTTAAAGTTTCCAAATAAACGTTCCTTCCTAAGGACTTCTAGCACTTGTTTTAGGTGATTCACATGCTCCTCTAGACTTTTACTGTAGATCAGGATGTCATCAAAATAG